GGCCTCAGCAAGGTCCCAGTACAGGCTATACCTTGAGCAAGAACGCAAAAAGAGGGAGAGTGCTGCTCAGACACTGAAGAGGAAGGCCGCAGAGGAAGAACTAGTGGAGCTCAGACAGCAACACAGAGTCCTGGACGATGTCTGTGCCATCCTTGAAAATGATGCCAACAAGTTGGCCGAGGAGGCAGAGGGGAAGGCTGGGTCAAAAATGGCCCAGCTTATCACTAAATCCAACACACTCAGAAGGAGATAGAAAGAGAAAAAAGAGGAACTGGATAAAATGGACAAAACTATTGAAGAAAAGGCCATGCAATTAAGACACTTGCCATAAAATTCTTTTGCTCATGAGTTCATATTAGGCCTATAGTACAGGTTTATGTTAAAATCAAATAATTCACCAGTTTATAGTTCATATAGCAGATGCCAGTTTGTAGCAGCGAATGCCAGCCAGTGTGCTGGAACTGTTCTCTTCATTGCACATTTTTTGTAGTTTGTTTTATTTTTATTCATGAAGTGAAATAAATGTGTGCAATATGTGGTCAACATCAGTGAGTCTCTAAATCTATTCTGTTGTGTATAGTGTTATATATGTCAAAATCTGCTTCAACATTAATAAGGTCGCTGATTAACACTTGAAACTCAGTGTCGTGATGGTTTTAAAAAAAATCCGAAGGTAGTAAAAAAAGGTATTAAAAGGTATTAAATTTAACTTAAGGATTGCTGTATATACCCTGACATAAGTGTATGTGTGTTTTGGAACAGTTAAAGGATAAGGTCGGTCATTTTCTATATTAATAGTGTTTTCAGGAATCTCCATACAGAGTAAAACAGCCAATGAATTGCAGCTGTCAGTCCTGGATTAGCTTGTTCATCTGTGTGGTAGGTCTCCGTTGTTCAAAAACACATCAGGGAAACATGCCGCTGCACTGGGTGACACGTTTTTCATTATAAAACCCCAGGCCCAACTATGCCACCCCAAAGGCTCAGTGAAGACATAATTTCCTGAAGTTAGCACGAGTCAGAGTCAGCTGCACATGTGCGTGATTTTGTGCAAGGTCTCTACTTTGTTTACATTCCATTAGCTCCTCATACATGGGTCTGGGGCTTGCTAATGAAGAAACGTCACCCAGCGCAGCGCTGGGTTTGACTGATATGTTTTTAATCGTTTTTGAACAACAACGGCACAGACGAGTAAACTGCTCCAGAATGGACACAATGATGGATTTTAACTGTGAGCAGAGGCAATTCATTGTCAGTTTTAGTCTCTGCATACTGAGTGGCTAAAATACTATTAATATAGAAAGTAACCGGTATTATCCTTTAATATCATAAGTGGATAAGCTTGGTCTTTGTGTATTTTTACCTAGACCTTTCAGGCGAGTGACAGACAAAGGTGTGCTGCTGTGGGACAGGATTCACAGGTTAGAAAAGGGGCAGATCTACAAACAGGTATTGTGCCAGGAAAATTGCCATGACATGCCTGATTAAAATTTCTGACATATTACTCCTGGATACACCTTCT